GGCCGCTCCGCTCTGGAACTTGTCGGATTTTTACCTTTCGTTTTGTAATTCCTACACACTCTGGGAGCTGTTCTCGGGTCTGTCCAGCCCCAGCACGTTGAACTGCAGTCTGGATGTGGTGCTGACCGAGGGCGGGGAGACGGCCGCGTGCAGGCAGTGCGTGGAAGCTTACCAAGACTACGACCACCACGCTCGGGAGAAGTACGAAGAGTTTGAGAGTGTGCTCCACAAGTATTTGCAGTCGGAGGAGTACTCGGTGAAGTCGTGTCCGGAAGACTGTAAGGTAGGAACGGGGCCTCGCCCCAACCTTTGCTTCTCGGTGTCTCTCTGCCCAGTGGAGGCGTCTGCTAGGTTCCGGTTGTATTTCTTTACCTCTTCTTTCTTTCTGTCTTGGCTCTGGTTGGGTTGCTCGGATGGTGGCCTCTCTGGTTTGCAAGAGAGCGGCGTACCCGGTGGGTCGCTGGCAGGCGCGGCTGCCTTCCTTTGGGAATCCTTGGAAAATCAGGGGAGTCCCTGGCCTTAGGAGACAGCAAGAGTGCTGCTTTCAGGATTTCCTGCAGCCCTGTCGCTGGCTGAAACTCTGCTATATATGGCTTTCAGAAGATGGACTGCCGGAGGGATTCTGATGACCACAGGTAGCCAGAAGAGTCAGAAGTAGACATTAGGGTTTGGGGTGTGCAGGCGCACAGTGAAGGCCCCAAAAGTCATGTCATGAAAATCGAGGAACCGGAGGAGCAAGAGAAGGTGTAAATGCTTCTGTAGAACAAACAACAGATTGCACGCACGTTTAGGGGCTTCGTTCTTGCTTTCTTGGAACATCTGGGGGCCTAGCTAAGGGTAGGTACTCTCCATAAGTTGCCTGTTTTCTTTGGCATTTGTGTAATTATTGATCTGAGACTCCTGACGAGCGAAGTGTTATGACTAGTTTTCTAGCGGTAGCAAGACTAGGTTATTGATCAGACAGACACCTTATGTAATTTGGATTTTTTCGAAGTCCTAAATGGCAAATCTTAGGAGCTACGGATTAACGTTTACCGAAATATTTCCTAATTTCTGTGTTAGCACAGTGAAAGGGAGCCTGGACAAGTTACGGGGCGTCTTCGCTGTCCGTGGTGCTGAAAGGGGCTGTGCCCAGACGCTGCGCTGGAGAAACTGCAGCCACCTTTAATAGGCAAGGCATGGTGACAGGATCTCTGCGAGCCTCGCTGTTTTTTTTGTTTGTTTGTTTTGCTTTTGTTTTGTTTTTTTTTTCCGAGGATGACTGCTTAAACAACCCAATGAAACAGTCTTGACTTCCAGAGGAAATCAGACACCACACTCTTCTCTCCCTTCCCTACTTCCCCAACCTCCCACGCGAGGGCCACAACTGCCCCTTGCCTCCCTCGGAAAGTAATCAAAAGTAGCATAAATCAGAAGGTTAGTGAGGCTTCGACGAGGGAACTTGACTAGAGGATGTTTATTTTAAGTGGACACAGTTAAAGAACCTCGTCTGGCTTTGGGTTAGTCGTGCTTTTGAAAGTGAAGCAAAACTCAACCTGACCTTGCTTTATCGTCTTTCTGTAAGACCAGACAAATGCGTCTTTGAAAATAGCAACTTTGGGTTTATGACATTGAGAATGCTATTTCACTAAATAAGTACATCTTACATTTTCCTATCTATGCTTTTAAACCTTACCATCGTGACTCATGCCTGGGAATTAAGCTCAGGTATTAGTGGTAGGAATTAATGATGAAGGTTCATGTATTTATTGTACGGTTACTAATTTTGACAAGATATGTTGGACTGAAAGCATGATATGAGAATTCCTCCACAGAGGTTGTCAATTTCAGCATATTTGCATTTAAGAGTGGAACTTGTAATCAATTTGAACTTAGCTGCTGCTTTGAATATAAGCCGTCATAGAAATTTCTAGTGATTTCAGTTTGCATAATTCAGCATTCAAATGATAGTCCTTGTTGTCAGTACAGTGCAGCATAATTTCAAAAAAGTCATCTTTGTTCAAATGTCCACAAAATATATATTTGAATATTTGTTTTCCCCTTGACCTGAATAAATTCTTGACTTGATGTTTACATCATCACAGCTATTAAGTTAGATTTATATTCTAGACTAATTTTTATAAAGTAGGAGTCCACAAAAGCATATTATAAAAATTTAACTTCTTTAAAATTTCTTTAGTTTGAAAAGTAAATATAGGTTTCTGAATTTTCTCAGAAATTCAATATTTAATACATTGTGATTTCTTATAGATATTTCTTGGCTGTAGTGGGTCTTCTTTGTTTGTTTGTTTTTCTTATTATTGTTTGGCCATTGGAAATATTTGTTCCATAGTAGCTATTTTTAAAAACTATAATTTCAGTTTTAAATGACTGGTGACTTGGGTTTAAGATCCACAAACCAAGTGGTTATATGCAGAGATATAATACAAGCATGAGTTTCTTAGTTTAATATGGTATGGTATTTCTCTGTGATTCTGAAAAATCTACGAACATATCTGTGTAGCATTGAGATAGTTTAATATGGTTCTTGTTGTCTTTGAAGATTGTGATTGAGCTTCCTTATGAACACTTAGACTTGTTTCAAACATAATTCTAACTACAAAATAACTATCATCAGGAATTCTCCTCAAGGTATGTTATGGGGCTGGGAGTGTAGTTCGTTGGTTGAGCACTTGGCAGCTTTGTATGATGTCTTGGATTAAATCCCCAGCATCACACACACATACACACACACACACACACACATACGCGAATATGCACATACAGAGGAACACACACAATGTTTGTATACTGTGTAGTATGTAATAATATACATAAAGCAAAATTTTCCATTTTTCAAAGGTAACTACAAAGTCAGGGGATATACTAAAAGTAAATGCATTGTCTTTCTGTAATTGGCAGTTTATCAGTGAAAAACTAAATGTTAATAGTTTATATTAAGAATACTTGCTAAAATTACAGATAATATCCATAAAAACATGTTACTGCTACAAATTTAGTGGGATTAGCATGTTTGAAAAATGTACTTTTAAATACTGTGCCTAATTAAATAATTAACTTCTGTGATTTCTAACATTTAGTTAGAATGTGTTATCTTCTAGTTTTATATTTTCTCACCATTAAAAATAATCACATGCCAAATATGTATAGTATAAAAATAGATAAAATTTAATTTTGATTTAAATTGTTTTGAAGATATTTTTGACCATTTTTTTGAAACTATAAAATAGATCTAACAGAATCATAGTCTGGAACTCGCAGTAATTTCAAGCCAAATACAGCTGAGTTACTTTGGTAAATCTTTGTATATTAACATATGGTAGAAATATTGCACCCAAGAATATTGTAAAAAATCATTGATTTAATTTTTTAAAAAATATTTGCATTTGTGGAGAAACAAATGATAAAAAACCTGTTGCATATGTCCTCATTTGTTATACAGTAGTAAAGTGGCTGTATTACCCAAATTGGATAAAAATGTGCCTGTAATTTTTCTCAGTAGCTTCCAGTATTATTCAGAACTGTGTTTTTGGTATAGAAGAGTCTGACAAAACTGTCAAAATCCTTAAGTTGCCAGGTGATAGGAAAACTCAAATGTTTTAAATTATTAAATTATAAATATATTATTATTTACATGCTTGATTTTTTTCCTTAAAGATTTTCTCTTACATATACCAAACCCCTGACCAGTTTTGCAAATAAATATTATAAAAATGAGGTATGTAGGGAACATGGATTTTTGTGTCACAGATAAACTTCTGCAGTTACTCATCCCTCTCTAATTACTGAGTACATGGAGACACTGGTGAGGGATTATAGGTGTAACAGGAAAGTCTAACATGGGTTATTCCACCACATGTTTTTACCTTATCTCAGCATGGATTTTAATCTGCATATTCCTGAAATGCATGCATTGCCATCTTTCTAGTTTTACAATCTCGTACTAGAGCAAATTATGTGGATATAGGGCTTATTTGTGGCTCCAGGCACCCACCAGCAGCAGACCTTGTGGATACCAGGTCTCTAGAAGCATCAGGATATATGAGACTCCCTGGCTTTTTTCAGATGCTGCTCCCAATAGTGCTCAGTTTGAGAACATAGAATTTGGGTTATATAATGTGTAATTTTCAAACAACCCATTTCTTAATTCTTACTAATTTTAATGTCATGGTCTATAGATTCATAAAGAAACAGTATTTTAAAAGAAAATCAAATATATAACAATTCTGCCCATTCACATTTTGAACCTTAAATATTATTTTGCTCTCTGATAAGTGCTATTGTACATATTATGTCATTATCCATAAATGTGCAATCTATAAATAGACCCTTTTCTTATTTTGCCACTTTGTTATTTCCAAATTATACTTATGGTTGAATGATTCCCTGCAGAATCAAACAGGCTCATTGTGCTTCTGCTGACTTTAACCTCTAATAAGGCTATTTATAAGGTCAAAGACTCTAGCATAATAATTTTTATGACTGAGATTTATGTTTTTTTATATTTTGGCTCTCTATACAACTTCTGACTTCTGGTCTGCATTTTATTTTTATAGAAAATCAGTCAGATTTTGTCTTAATATATTAGGTATCTTTTGTGGTACAGAGCACAGAATAAATATTTTTACTTTGGACTTCTAAGTGGGTCAGACGTGCAGCCATCTAGGGCACAACCTAATTGCTGATACACATTGTTTTAATCACCTTTATGAGGGGAGGGAGGTGCATGTCAGCATCAGTAGGGTGAAAGAAGAGGAAGAAATCAAACATAGCCCTGGGTCTCACCTACCCCTCCTGTAAATCATAATCGGTTAAGATTCTTCTCATTAGATGTAGTGTGCAAGAACAAATCCTGGGACAACTTTTTCAAGGAGAGGGGCATTTTGATGTGAAAGACTTGACCTATTGCTTTACATTTATCCTCTTTTTCAGAAGATCTCTGTAAAACAACATTCAACTTCTGTGTCAGTCTCCCAGCAACTAAGCACCTAATATTTTGTTTATTTTAATTTATATCAAAGGAGCATCCACCGCAGGAACCCTTGCAAATCCTGAGGCCTGGGTGTTTCCAGGCTGATACCCTGCTTTCCTTGGCCTGGCTTTCATCAGAGGCCTGGCCTCCTCGAAGCTGGCCCAGCAGCCCTCGCTACCACTGGGGCTGGGAGCCAGTATCTGGTTAGCAGTCCTAGGCAGAGCTGGATACCACCTGCGCTCCACTGAGAAGCCAGAGAGAGCAGGGGTCGACACCGTGCCCTGGTGGTGAGAGTGGTAGGTCACAGGAAG